GGGGGGGGGGGGGGGGGGTAACCCGTGAGAATTTAAACAAATATTTTCCTATTTAAAATTTTTGTTAGAAAATGGGTGGCTGAAAGGGGTAATGAATGTTTATAGAAATTATGGTCAACTCAAGGTAAAATAATTTTATTCGAGATTGTTTACTTTTAAGTCGAGTTGAATTTTATTTCATTTGTGATTCTTTCAATTATTTTTGATGATTCTATTTGTTAGTGAAATTATAAGGAATTGAAAATTTGAATTTCATCGTTTGATCATTTGGTCTTGCCTTTGAAATCCATGCCCCGGTCTAGGTTGTGACATGATCAATCTTAATTTTCAAGTGGGTTGATTGATTCTCTTAGCTCAATAAGCTAGATGGCCAAGCTCGGGGTTCAGGGATGTACCTTCAACAAGATAGGGTGGCTCCTTAGCTAAATTGATTTTAAGATTATTTATCTAGAAAATTCAATGGAATGAGTCATTGATAAAGTTTAAATTTAAGTTCAAATGAATTAAAAATGGTTTATCTTTCAAACAAGGGGATCAATAAATCATTCATTTATGAACTATCTTCAAAGGGGATCCAAAAGAAAGTGCCTAAGGGTGAAAGATCCACAACTTTCAATTTATACTGCCATAGCGCCACCTCCTATTCCACAACATTCCTCTCAAGATATTGAGGGATCTGAGGAAGAAGTAGCTTATATGACATATGAAAACGGCCCCATCTGGGACCAAGAAGATAATGAGGATGATACAATTTGGGATAAATCCCCCGATGAAGAAAATGGTGATGCTGATGACTCTTTCTCATTATTTTTATATGTGAATAATCTTAATAATAATGAATTCCATTCATTCGCGGAAGTTGGTGGGAATGATACTCCTGAAAATTCTCAAAATCCTCCATCACTTGAATACCCACTAATAAAACCTCCTCAAATTTCTGAAACTCCACCATTCTATTCTCTTCCTAAACTTGAATCAGAATCCTGTTATCCTAACATTGAAGATCAGCTCGCTGAGCTTGATTACCCTCATCTAAAAAGCTAGTCTCTAAGGCAGATATTGTATATGCATCTGTCTCATCCTATTTCCCACCTAATGAACCCTTGTAATGTACCCACTTGCCATCTCAGGTTCGCAGGTAGACCCTTCCCCTTCAGCATCTAATCATTTGTAGAATTTGAGGTCTTATGCTTCAGACTTCAGAAGATTGTATTAGCAAAACATGTGGACATTACCATCCACACAAAATGCTCAAAGAGTTGTACTTGTATTCTCCGATGACTTCTCCCTATACGACGATGTTATATCAAAGTGGGAGTCCATCATTTTGAATCTTGTGAATGACAAAAAGTTCGCTGACAATAAATCAAAAGTACTCTTTATTGAAAATTTGCTGGGAGAAGTTGAAAAGAAAATATGGATCCAATGACGTATGACCTTCGAGGATGAATATGAAGCAATTATAAGCATAGCTGATGATCCTCAGATTGTATTATCAGCCATACGAAAAGTTATTTTGCTTGAATATCCCCATCAGAGTTCTACTGATGAGCAGAATCGGGCCT